AGGAGGGGTGGGGGTGTGGAACGGGGTGGGAACTTAGGCTTGGGATCTTCAGAAAGAAGGAAATCAGAGCTTAGGAAGGCACTGGAGTCCAGGGAGCCAGGGCAGCTGCTCCGAGCCTGGTTGGAGGGACAGACAGAGAGCAGGTGAGAAAGCTGGCCTTTATAGCCAGCCAGGCAGCCTCCTGCCCTGGCTGAGCTCTGGACTAGGCACTGGGAGTGATAAAGGATCCCTGCCCTTTAACACACACACCAGGGAAATTATAATCTAATGAGGGGAGGGAGAGGAACACATTTATGCATAAATCAGGCATGAGAAAGAGCATCAGTCTTCCTGCCCACTCATTCATTCATTCAAATAATTTATGCATGCATCCATCCTTCCATCCATCCGTCCACCTACTTATTTATTCTCTCGCCTATGAGCTAGCTCACCTATCTTTCCACCAGCCCACCAGGTACTAACCCATTTACCAAACTATCCAATCATCTATACTTCACTTATCCACAATACACTGACCAGCCACTTATCCACCCACTAGCCCATTCATTGATCCACCAAACCATTCATTCATCTATGAATTCATCCATAAGCTCATCCATCCATCCAACCAACCACTCACCCACACATATATACACCAACTCACCTAAGCATCTAGCCCCATCTACAACCCATCTGTCCATTCACCAACACACCCATCCATCCATACACTCATTCATTCACTCACTTGCTCAGTCATTGGGCAATCATTTACCAAGTTCTGTTCATGTGCTTGAATGGTGCTAGGTATGGAAGATGCAGTGGTGAGCAAAACACCTCTTCCAGCAAGGAGCTCACTGTAGTCCAGGAGAGAGACCCCTCAACAATAACTATAATAGTGCCTGAAAACACTGATGATGGAGGGAAAGACATCTAATCTAGCAGCAGGGAGACATCTGAATTTGGTCTAGGAGTTCTTGTGCCAAAATAGTAGAATCACCGTTTCCTAAACATACAAGCTCAGTTTTCAGCTTCCATGCACTCATTTGAGCTTCTCTCATATGACTTTCCCCCTACTGGTCTCTTCTGTCCAAACCCGACTCATACGTTAAGGCCCAGAGCTCCTGGTCCTCCAGGAAGCCTTCCACGAACAACCCAGCCCTTGGTGGTGCCTGTTCCATGCTCCTCCTGCCCTCAGCTTAACTCCCTCCCCCTCAGCTT